AATGATAGTGTAGAATAATCATATCCAAGGACCAGTGGTGGGTTTCAAAAAAATTTGGAACCTCTTCTGTAGGTGTGGCCTGCTTTCCGCATCCACTGGTGGAACTTCTTCTAAGCGGTTCGGTAGATTTGATGAACCGGTTCTACCGAATAGGTGCCATTGGTAGGAACCCACCTCTGCTATGCTGTCTCCTATTGTCCAACTCTCTTCTCTGCCTGCTCTCCTCTTCGGAGTTTCAACCGGTCATTTGAGCTCTTCCTTGATTGACATTTAAAATATTTTTCACACGGGTACACCTCAACTTGTGACCACAACTGAGACCAAAAGTGCCATTGTTAGCAAGGGGGTTGTTAAGTGAGGCATGCCTGATTTTGCCACCTTTTTTTGCTGTAGTCATTAAGTGAATTAAGTGAAGAACCATGTGGTCCTTAAGCGAATGCAGCTTCCTTCACTGACTTTGCTTATTGGAAGCCAAGTTGGGAAGGTTGCAAATGTTAATCATGTGGCCTCTGGACTATTCCATGACCAGCACACACATTTTAATCACACGGCCGTGAGAATGCTGCAACAGTCATAAGTGTGAGGAATGGTCCTCACTCACTTTTTTTCAGCACCAGGGTGACTTCTAATGGTTGCTGAATGAATGGTTGTATTGGCTTTATTTTAAAAATGGAAAACAGTTGAATGGGGCATCCACAGGGTGTGGAGAGAAATTCAGTCAGAGTACTGTGGCTGTCATGTTGACTTTTTTTGGCCGTATCCTGCAGGTGTCCCCGGGTTCAATAAACCATTGACCCATGATTACATCTCAAGGAAAAATGGTATGTTCTTCTTAACAAGAGATAGATTGAGAGGAGTGTTTAGCCTGACCCTGGTGGATTCACACAGGATATTTGGTGAGGCAGTGGTGGGTTTCACATTTTTTTAGAATCTCTTCTGTAGGTGTGGCCTGCTTTGTGGGAGTGGCTTGCTGGTCATGTGACTGAGTGGGAGTGGCTTGCCAGCCATGTGACTGGGTGGGTGTGGCCAACNACTCCCATCCGGTCACATGGGCGGCAAGCCACTCCCACAAAGGAGGCCACACCCACAGAGTAGGTTCGAACAATTTTTGAAACCCACCACTGAACGAGATCCTCCCTCTTATTGTTGTAGATTTCTGAGGCCTGAGAAACAATGAAAACAAATTAAAAGATCATAAATATAACACCAGAAGTGGGTTCCTACTGATTCGGACCGGTTCGGCCACATAGGTAGTAATTCGGCCGGCCACACCCCCAAATCGGTTCTATCGGCTGCGCCATCTTGTTTTTTGCTTCTGCGCACGCGCAAGCATTTTTTAACCTGCTGCGCGTGCGGCATAGTGCGCATCAAGGGCGCACCCATGCCCAAAGCGCATAACTGAATGAACCGGCAGTAGAAGAAGCCGGAACCCACCTCTGTATAATACAGATGCTGTACATCAGGGTTGTCATTTTACATATGGCTCAAGGCCTTTAATCCTACAGCAGCTCTCAAATTTTTCATGAAAAGTTTGGGGGGGGGGAATCCCGAGTTAAAAGTTAGACTGAAAAGTTAAATTTGCATATCATGTCAAGGAATGATGATGTGACCATGACTGTGATGGTCGTAAGTAGAAGGACTGGTGATAAGTTTTTCAACCCTGTTATAATTTTGAGTGGTCACTAAACAAATAGCCGTAACTCGAGGACCATCTGTACATAGACACAAGGAAACGTACGTGCCAAATGTTATTAAACTACAATTCCTAGCATCCCTCACTATTGGCCACATAATGAAAAAGTTGCTGGGAATTGTAGTTTAGTACTTTTGGAGGTCCACAACCTTCTTGCCTGTGATGCTTTCAAAGGGCTCCATTTTATACCAGAGAAAAATCACTGCATTTTGATCAGTTGTTTAGAATTTGTGTTTTTCAAACAGAGGAACGGGAGATTTAAGAGGTGGCGCAGTGATTAGAGTGCAGTACTGCAGGCTACTTCTACTGACTGCCGGCTGCCTGCAATTTGGCAGTTCAAATTTCACCAGGCTCGAGGTTGACTCAGCCCTCCATCCTTCCGAGGTCAGTAAAATGAGAAACCAGATTGTTGGGGGAAATAGGCTGACACTGTAAACCGCTTAGAGAGGGCTGTAAAGCACTGTGAAGCGGTATATACCGTATTTTTCAGAGTATAAGATGCACCTTCCCCCCCCCAAAAGAGCGTGGAAATGTTGGTGCATCTTATACACCGAATACAGCCATTTTTGGTCTTCCCTCAGTCCCCAGCAGCACTCTGCAGGCTTCAGCAGGGCTGGGGCAAGGCAAAAATGCCCCCGTTTTTGCGGAAAATGAGCCATTTTTCATAAAAATTGAGGCTTTATTTTTGCCTTCCCACAGCCCCCAGCAGCACTCTGCAGACTTCAGCAGGGCTGAGGGAAGGCAAAAACTTTTTTTTCTTACTTACCTCTTCAAAATCTTGGTGCGTCTTATACACTGGTGCGTTTTATAGTCCGAAAAATACAGTAAGTCTAAGCGCTATGGCTATTTCATCCCGGGGCCCCTACCAGCCATGGAACGCTGCCCTACCTGTATTGTTTTGGTGCCTGATTTCCAAGGAAAGTTCATAGCTTAATTCACCAGGCGAATGTCTCCCAGACATCACAGAGCCTTGGAGGACAAGGTAGCGGGTTTCTCTGGAAAGGCAAACAACCTGAGATGGGAAAAAATTTAAAAATAAACATATCCAACATCCATCTATTTGATCGAAGTTCCCCCTCAAAACTTTTATTTCCATCATGAAATGCAGAAACTCCCTTGAGGCTTCATTCTTAGGTCAAGAATTATTTAGTTCCTGAGGCCTGCTAAAAGCATCTGCTCAGCCTTGGCAGGCAATTTTAAGGCGTGTGGACTTCAAATCCCAGAATTCCCTAGCCCGCATGCCGGTTGGGGAATTCTGGGAATTGAACCCCATACATACATCTTCAAGTTGCTGGCGTTAAGAAATATTTATCTAGTTCAGGGATCGGCAACCTGTGGCTCTGGAGCCGCATGTGGCTCTTTTATCCCTCTGTTGCGGCTCCCTGACGCCGGTCGGCTCCACAATTGATAGGGCTTTCAGTTAGGACAGGTAGAAGGAAAAGGATGCCATGCTAGGAGGAGACTCTATGGTGGGGGAATTGGACTTCCGGTCAGCTCCAGAATTGATAGGGCTTTTGGTTAGGACAAGTAGAAAGAAAAGAACGCCACGCTAGGAGGAGACTCTATGGTGGGGAAACTGGACTTCCGGTCAGCTCCAGAATTCTGGTTAGGAAGCTCTTTGTGGCTCTTTGTGTATTTAAGGTTCCCGACCCCCAATCTAGTCCAACCCTCTACCAACCCAAGAAATCTACTAAATTATCTGCGAAAAGCTGGCAGGCCAGTCTCCATTTAAAAATCCCAGTGAAGTGGAATCCATGTCTCTTAATGATTTCCTGCTCCAACCACTAGGATCTCCCACTGCCAAACATTCACTAATGTTCAGAGTGAATCTCATTTCTTTAAATTTCAGACCAGGCCCTTGGTTTCAACAAAGGGAAAATTAGGTAGCAGGAGTGATAGTGAGGGAATTCTATGAACTGAAAGGGTGTCAAATCAAGTGTACATGGTATTTTAAAAGATATGGGGCTTTTAACATTTGGGGTCACTATCTTGAGTTCCTTGATGTAGCGTTTTTGGTATTCTGTAGAGTGTTTATCTTAACTTGCCTTAATGTGACCTAAAGAAGCAAAAGAGCTCTTTGAGTCATCCAATGTGGGACATCATCAATGCTTTTTGGTCAAATGAAGGTGGCAAATATACTTAATATTCCTGCCCCCTATATTCTCCACAACAACCCTACAAGGTAGGCTGAGGTCACAGAGAGCATATTAGGTATGTTCACACCTTGAGTTGTTTATAAAAATCAGACAGCTGGGATATAAGCAGAGAGAAATAAATAGAACTGAGGGCCAGTTCTAGTGGTTAAGACACATAGCTACAAACCAGGAGACTGTGAATTCTAGTCCTGTCTTAGGCATGGAAGCCAGCAGGGTAACTTTGGACCAATCACCAGAAGACTGTGAGTTCTAGTCCCGCCTTAGGCATGGAAGCCAGCAGGGTAACTTTGGACCAATCACCAGAAGACTGTGAGTTCTAGTCCCGCCTTAGGCATGGAAGCCAACAGGGTGACTTAGGGCCAATCACTAGAAGACTGTGAATTCTAGTCCCGCCTTAGGCATGGAAGCCAGCAGGGTAATTTTGGACCAATCACCAGAAGGCTGTGAGTTCTAGTCCCGCCTTAGGCATGGAAGCCAACAGGGTGACTTAGGGCCAATCACTAGAAGACTGTGAGTTCTAGTCCTGCTTTAGGCATGGAAGTCAGCAGGGTAACTTTGGACCAATCACCAGAAGGCTGTGAGTTCTAGTCCCGCCTTAGGCATGGAAGCCAACAGGGTGACTTTGGACCAATCACCAGAAGGCTGTGAGTTCTAGTCCCGCCTTAGGCATGGAAGCCAACAGGGTGACTTAGGGCCAATCACCAGAAGGCTGTGAGTTCT